TGAATATTAGTTGAATCTTGAAACTGTTTTCTTCTGGGTTTTTGATTCCTTGTAGAATCTTGGAACCTTTTAAATATGGGTATTTTATTATTACTAGCTAGCTAGTAGAATCTGATAACTTTATTTTATATGGGTTTTGTAAAAAGTCTTCCGTTTTTTTTTTTTACAATTAGGGCTTTCTTTTGTATCAGAATCATCTTTTTATCAAGAATGTGTTTGAGGCTTTCTTGTTTTTTTTTAACAGATCCAGATGCAGAGGTAATTGCATTATCACCAAAGGCACTTCTTGCAACAAACAGATTCGTTTGTGAGATATGCAACAAAGGGTTTCAAAGAGATCAGAATCTACAGCTTCACAGGAGAGGCCACAATCTTCCATGGAAGCTTAAGCAGAAGAATAGTAAAGAAATACAAAGGAAGAAAGTTTATGTGTGTCCAGAGATAAACTGTGTTCATCATCATCCATCTAGGGCTCTTGGTGATCTTACAGGGATCAAGAAACACTTTTGTAGGAAACATGGAGAGAAGAAATGGAAATGTGAAAAGTGTTCCAAGTTCTATGCTGTTCAATCTGATTGGAAAGCTCACACTAAGATCTGTGGTACCAGAGAATATAGATGTGACTGTGGCACTCTTTTCTCGAGGTAAGCTTTTTTAAAATTTTTATTATTATTTATTTACCAAATTTTGTTCTTATCTGAAGATCTTTCTTTGTTCATGATTTTTCTGTGATAAATATCTTTTACTTATTATGAGTTTTGCCGAATTATGGTCTCTATACATATGTTATATGTGTGTGTATATATAGTAAGATAGATGAAATGAATGCTTTCGTGTGACTAATTTTCAATTGTCTTCTTTTGGTTATGTTCTTTGACAAAACTGCTAGTGTTTGTCCATGGAATATAGGTTGAGTTCAATTGAATGCAGTGGCAAATTTCATGGATACATGTTGTTCACTTTTGCCTCTATAAATGTTTTTAGTAAAAATAGTCAAGAAATATTTTTATGTATTAATAGATTGACTTAAATCAATTTTACCACAAAAAAAGAAGAGCTAATGTATAATTCCTGTCCAATAAAAAATGGCTATTTTACTTAATTTTCTTATTGTGTGTAAAAGTTGTGTTGCATTATTGAAGAAGGTAAAAGAAACCTGCAGGTGAATCTTCTCCTTCATCATGATGCTTAAAAAGGATCTTGATTTTATATTTTTGTTTGTGAAAATATTTTGTAATCTACGATTTGATTTGCTAGCTACGTCTTAATTGCATTGGTCCATTATTACCTATATATTACGCTTCAAAAGCTTTTCTTGGAATTTTGAAACTTCTTCTTCTCTGTCTGGTCCACCTAAAATTATTTCACTTCTTGCAATTGCATCATCATCGATCGTATAAAACATATATATACACAC